CATAATTCTCTCTCTCAAAGAGGTGAATTGGTCATTTAGTTGCACAGTTATGTTATTCAGTATTATCTTCAATAGTATGGGATTTTGTTAAATTTGTTTGTGGTGTAATGCAATGTAGATTGACAGGTTGCCAATATGACAAAAAAAAAGGTGTATTGAAATCTTGGCATGTGTACAGTAGGACCCTGAAAAAAACCAGCTCAGAAATGACCCCTCCTCCCCCCACCCCTCTCACTGCCTTAGTTTGAACTAAGTATCATTTAGTGGCCTTTAGAAATATAAAATTTGTATGGATTTTGTTAAGGAGAATGACATACCAACACTGGAGAAGAAACTTGGAGCTGGACAAATTGAAGAAGTTATTAAACAGGTGACAAATAATATTAAAATATAATTATTTAATATTATTATTATTATTATTATTATTATTATTATTATTATTATTATAACTGTTAAGCTGATGAGCAATGCAATTCCAACAAAATGAATTGAAATTCAATGAAAGTCTGAGGACTGATCTTACATGTATATGTTTAAAAATTCGATATTTTGTGCTGATCTCTCTGACTCTCAAAATCACATTATTTCTGATGATGGTTATAATAATAAAATTACTATACATGTAGTTACTTCCTCTAACCTTACCTGGTGGTTACTTTTTTCCAAGCTGTACATTTCAGGACTTTGTTCCACATAATAATTATCAGACTTTTCTTCCATTTGAAGGCTGAAGATGAGTTCTCTTTAGCCAAGAAAATGCAAGAGTGGCAACCATGGGAACCCCTGCAAAATCCTCCACCAGCAGATCAGTGGAATTGGCCATAACAATTTGGATGGTACTAAAGTTAGCCTACCTTTAGTGGCATTTAACTAAAAGAAATATGTTTCTCGAGACTGCAGTATGAACAATCTAAGCAGTCATTACTGAAAGACAGTCAGTGAATACTTAATTTTGCTGGTACAATATTCAACATTTTGTATATCTGTAACTCACCTTAATAGTGTTGTACTTTACTTTTTAATAGTTTAAATGTATGTGAGCTGAATAAACATTGATTGTACAAGCCGTGGTTGTTACCTTGTACTCAGTGAATAATAATTGAACAAGTCTGTGACCACTGATTTGTGAATTCATATGGGAAGTAATATATCAAACACAAAAGACAGTGTTTGACCACATTTCCAAACGCCTAGAAGAGAGTTGAAAATACGACGTGTAGCGGAGTATTTTTGACGAACATCGAGGTGTTTGGAAATGTGGTCAAACACTGTTTTGAGTGTTTGATATGTCTACTTAATCGAAACTAAAACTAAGGAGAAAACGGAGAAATAAAATCATAAAAATCTTTGCTAATTAAGATCAGATATCCAAACACGTCACGGTCATGATTTCCTTGGTTTAAACTTGATGGATTATTAATGAGCTTGAGAAGTTGGGTTGAGAGCTTGGCATTAAATCTAGTTCACAAGCACTCTCTCGACTTTTCAGATAATAAGGCCTTGCTTTGTATTGTTCAAAAAACCGTTTTTCTTTTAATTTGACTTTTTTATTTCGTTAACACCTTTTTGGGGGTATGAGGGGTTTAATATCACGGGTGCTTCACAAATGTTTTGGTTTAAATAGTTTGAAGGGATTTGATAGGAAGAATTTAGTTCAAACAAGAAAACTACTTTTAACCACAGTCCAAAAAAACGATATAATTACTTTCCTTTCTCCAGTGATGAAATGAATGAAGGAAACACATCAATTAAGTTGTGCTCACATTCATTCATATACTTTTTGTTTGTTTCACTTTCTATTCTCTATCTATACTGACTTAATCCATGATATGAACAATAAACTTTTTAATAAATATTTTCTTTTTCTCATTACATGTGTTCTCATTTTAACTAAATATTAGAAATAAACTGGAACAACATCTAGACATACATTATGCTGCAATGATTTTCAACTGTCTGACTCTGAATCAGGACACAATGTTAAAACTACGCATTCATTTTAAACTAAGCAATTCCTTAAAGATAAACATGAAATACCTTCTACCTGGAATAAAACATTTCATTAAATTTTGTTCCTTCCTGCAGTAAAAATGGCTCGGGCATTGAGCTTAAAAATCAATGACCATTGTAAAAAGACCAGTTTCTTGCTTCTGCAGATGATATTGTGTCATAAGTTTGTTGAAGATGAGGTGATAAATAGTTCATTTGCTTTGATGTGAAGGTTTGCCCCATAGTTCTGTGTTGAATATGGGTGCTAGCATTGAATGATAATATTTACAGTGGCATTAAGGACACACACAAATAAATTATGAAAATCTAAGGATCCAAGTCGCTAAAAGCAGTAAACATTTCCCTAGCAGAACATTTGAGAAGTTTCTAATGAGTTGTAACATGGCTAGTACAAACAGTTATACTAAGATATATTTAAATGTAACACAAACAAAATTATACCTAACAATTCAGGAAACATTTTGTCAGAACAACAAGCTTGCATTCCCTAGCTTTGGCACTTGTTTGCCTGCAGGGTGGGTACTCCTATATGTAAATGAGATAGGTAAGAGGTAAGTGCGGCACCAAGGCTATAGTTTTGTGAATTCTGTGGTAAGCAAAACTTTGTATATAGTACCTTTTGTTAGCCTTTGGGAATAATTATTATTAGTGGGTTCAATAGGAGAGACTATTTTGCAAATGTTTACAAGCAAAAGACAAGATGTCTGCCCTTTAGACAGGCAAATTCTGAAACCACATTGTCAATGTCCGCATCCTTATGCTTAAGAATGTGAAGAATTGTCAGTGAGGATAAACTCTCCTCAGTCATGGTGCTGCAAAGAGGGGGAGGGGGTGTGGTTTCTAATCCCTTCATGTCGCTAAAACACAGGTTGACACATGATATGTCTACTAAGTGATAGGTGATGGAGCCACATAATTATTCCTGGTTAATACTAGGGGCTTATATTACTGACAGTATCAACCAAAACCTGGAGCTTTTCATTCTCACAGTTGCATCTCCATTAGTTTTTTGCTTCAGTTTTGTGACCTCAGCATAGGTCTGGTCCTCTGTGATGTCCAAGTCACTTCACTTAGTGAAAGTAGTAAAATTTATTGTATCATATCGCCAATGACTCCTGTTGATGTTCTTTTCACTTCATATTTGATATCGCAAAAAACAGCAATGTAAATAATTTTTTTGGATTTGTAGAAGTACGCACATGCTTAAGGGTGTGCATTGTTGCTACACCTGTGTCCCTGATACATGACCTCAACTGACCTGGAAAGGCTTGCTATTGCACAACATTTGAGAAAAGCTTCAAATTCCTAATGGCCTATTTCAAACCAAAGTGGTCAAATTCTTAACTCTATTTATAAAGTTGTGACTTTTGAAACTGTCCCATGGAAAATGTGGCTTTTCCAAGCTCCTAAAAATTAAAATTCCTGGGAGGGCATGCCCCTTAACCCCTGTAGTGGCTTGTGTTCTCACTGCTCAATAAAGACTCAATAAACTACCTCTTTGGAGTGTAATCATGAAATGCATGCCATGCCCCTCAAACACAAGGTAATTTTAGAGATCTGGGAATCAAAATAGCATGTGGAAAACTTCCATTTTTTGATCTGTAATCAAAGAATGACATGTGCTGCACAACCAAAAACTGTGAGGAGTACCCACGCTGGGCTTGTTTTGCATTGGTTGTGGTACTGGACTACTTTGATTGCCAACATTTTGTTTCATATCAATAAGATAGGGACCCACATATAGACTTGCCTCCTTGTTTAGGGAACGGATGACAGCAGTGCACATGTATCTTATGTAGGCCTTTCCACAAATATCACATAAAATCGCATAAATATCTTACCTGAAATTCTCAAAAAATTGCCTAAATATCACAAAAAATGTTCTAAATATCTCAAAAGTCCTTTAAATATCTCTCATTTTTGTGGCAACAATACACCAATTTTGAATTTTGAAAATTGTCTCACAGTAGTGGGCATTGAGGAAGAAGATTGAGGCGATTTGATGTCACCAGCATCCACCATTTTCTAAAATTGCTCTTTCAGCGCTGGAATACATTTTTGAGTGGAAAATCACTGAACTGGATTGTTTCTGGCATAAGACTGAGTATTGTTTCAAGGGAATATCGAGGAAAAGTCATGGCTAGGCCAAAACAAGTTATGAATACTTCTAAATATCCCTAAATTTTCTAAATATCTTAATATTCTCTAAATATCTCAGAAACTTCTAATATCCCTAAAAATACCTGGATATTTGTGGAAAGGCCTAATGTTATCAATTTTTTAATATTATGCCATTGTTATAATCTCAGTTTGTTCCAAGAGCCAAAGAAAGGCTTTACTTACACCGTTGTTTTGCAGCAAGAGCAACAACAGTTTTGGCTTTTTTAGCCTGAGCATTTAGCTGCAGGCTAGCAAAGTTAGTTACAATCCTCAAATTGAGAACTTGACTGTATAATACAAAACAATCACTTGTGCATGCATAGCACAAGGCTGTAGCCAGGATGTAATTAAATCTAGGGTCTGCTGGAGCAGATTATTTCACAGTAAACAGGGGGACAAAATGCATTGAATTGATTAATTTAAATATTAATTTAAAAGAGAATCAATCTGATTGTGCCAACCCTTATGCAAACTATAAGTTAAGGGTAGAAATACCTTCACAAACCAGACAAACATTATATCTGGTAAAACAGTATAGATATGAATATGGCACAACATCGCCTTGTGTTATATGATGTACATATGTTTTCAAGTTCGTTTGTCTATCTTTTCAAACAGCTGCCTAAAATGGGTTGTTAATGGACGCTGCATGACTCCTTTGTGTGGTCGCACCATTGAATTATTTGGCTGTGTGAGTTGACTGAGGACTCTACTGTGAGCAGTGTTATAGACTGGTGTATCAATGAGGGACCTTATTGACTGTTGGTGGTGACGGTCTTGGTTTTGATTAGAACTGGTGTTACTTTCACTTGTAATACAAGCTTCAGCAGAGTCATTACTAGAAGAATGCTGTCGTGTGACTTCAGCTACCAAGGCAGATGAGTTAACGGCAACATTTTGAACACTACACAGCTCTTCTTTCAATGATGGTTTGGCTTTACCATAGGAGTTGTACTGTTCTTCCTGACCGGGGAGTTTGAGTGTAACATTGTCATATGGCTGTTCTGGTTCCAACCTTTCAACATTATCAAGGTAGCATGGCTCTGAGGACTGGGGAATTGTTACTTCATCACTTGTGTCCTTAGTTGGAATCTGATCATCTTCTGTGGCTGTCAACTCATCTTCCTCAGTGTCTGAATGGTCTGAGCCAAATGGGCTGTTACACACTGTTTGTACACCATCTGATGATAAAGGACTTCCTACCAAAGTTGTTTCACTTGGTGAGTGTAAAACATCAGCTTGAACTGGTTCTACATCATCTGACAACTGCTGATCTAGAGGAGTTGGAGCTTGTTCATGCATGGTAGATACTGTATCAGTGCTACTCCTTGGGCAATCCACCGCTGTTTGTAACTCACTAGATTGTTCTTCCTCTAATGAATGAGCAACATCTATTCCACCCTGATCCTCCGAATTTGGAAAGATTTTTGCTACCTCTCTTTCCTCCCTAGCAATTAGTGGCTGCTGATTAAAACTGAGCCCTACTCTTCTTTGACCAAATGTGGACATTTGTTGAATTGGTCTGTGTTGCTGAGGTACATATTGAGCATGTTGGACAGAGGGCATTTCATACACAGCCTCTCTTGTGTAGAAGTCATTTGGTACAAACTGAGGCTGGAGAGATGGTGCACCTCCCATAGTGTGCGAAAATCCAGAGTTAGCAACAGGCACATAATCATGATGCATTATGTAAGGTACATTTGATGGTTGTCTCATCATGAAATGCTGTCTGTACCCTTGGTTAGCCATAGGGATGTACTGTTGTGGTACTACACTGTAAGACTGCACTTGACTGTTAAAGTACATCCCCTGGTTAGAATGATGTAATGGAGGTATGAAGCACGGTTGGTACTGTAATGGCTGTGTTGCATAGCTTGGCATCATACTACCCATGACTGGGGGTGGTGTCTGTGCAACATGTGCCCACATAGGTACTTGAAGTCCTATAACTGGACCACACCCATATGCAGCTGGTGGCTGAAGAGAGAAACTTTGTGTTATGCTGTGACAATCCTTTACCCTTGTAGAAAGATACATGAAAGGTCAACCCTAAAACAAGTACACTTAAACTGCTACTACTCCCTTATATATAGGTATATTATGTTAGTTTAGGCTATATAGGTACCCCAAAGGGTATGGTTCTTCAGTCATTTTGGTCAGAAATAGAGTATCAATTTTGGCCTCTCTGGTCATAAATAGGGTATGGTTTTTGCACTCCAGCCTTGATATGGGTATGTTTTTAAGAAGAAGCTACTTTTTCATCATTATTGATAAGACCATGAACAAAGGCCCTTCACAAATTATGTCTGCAGCAATTTAACATTGATCTGAACTAGGGAACTAAGAAGCATTCAACTCAATTCAGAGTCCAGAACGCTGACTACAGGAAACTGCCCTTCCCTAATAAAATACAAAAAAAAAACTGCCCTTCCCTTTGTATTTGCAGGAAAAGAGAGGATCCTGTAAATGTGAGCATTGATCATGTGCTTTGGGACTAATAACGACTGTATTTTGAATCAGTGACAGATCAAGTGTTTATAAGGAGGAACTATATCTGCAGTGCTGTCATTGACAGTAAAAAATAGTCAAAGACTAGTCTCTTTGTGCGTTAGAACAAAAACATTCTACTTAATCAAAAAAACAAACTAGTAGTTTAATGATGTGAGAGAATTCATATCTAGGGTTAGACCTATCATGCCAGCATAATTTTGAGCAGAAATTATGCTTCACATCAGCAGCATCGGGCAAACTAGAAACTCTGTTTATAATCTAGACTTGTTTCCAGTACAGCTGTATATAGTTTAGGCCTGGTCACCTCACTGTACCAGCCTCTCAAGGCCCATGCATATTCAGTAGGCCCAGCTGGAACTCAGTCAGGGGTGCACTAATTTTAGCATAATTCTCCATTTCCAGGTTGACACCCAAAAATTATAATGCTCAGTTTTGCAAGCATAATCCTTTTAACCCTTGTCGTATCTTCATAAATATAAAAAAGAGGTCAAAGGTTCCAGCAAGAAAGTCAACGACCAAACTAAGTACTCCAGTGCTGTAGTCCCAAATAATATTATTATTGAGGCAATGTCCATGATTAAATTCTCTTCCTAGGTATTTAGCAATGTTCTACTTTCTCTCTTCAACAAGAAAACCAACAAAAATGTCTAAAACGACTGAGGCAAGTTAAGTCAGTTTGTCTTATGCTGGCTACAACCCCCTACTCACTAAACCAATTAATGGAAACTTTAACAGGTCACTTCTGTAATAATTTAGTCCATATAGGGAGTGCTGTTTTCCCAGGGGGTTGCTCCAGATTTCAAGTGACTGGGATGATCAAAAGGTTTTTTCGGGCAGGAAAATTTGACAAGTATTATTTGGGAGTATACCTTGATTTAAGTAGGAACTGTTTGGTGTATTCAATACAATTTGAAGATTTGTGGCAGTGCCCCAGCCATGTAGTTCTGCAATAAAGTACAACCAAACTTGTTTTATGGTTGTTTTAATATTTCACAATGGTGTCGCACTGCAATGCATCTATTTCGGCATGGGATTTTCTTGGGGTTAATGTCTGGTCTAGGAATGTTTTGTTTGGTTTCCTATAGAAACCCTTTGTTTTTTGGGTTTAGATTTTTGTCCCCAGTTGATCATCCCTGTCACTTGAAATCTCAAGCACCATCCCCTGGGGCTGTGTTAGAAATGGACAAACTTCATACAATCTTGCTGCCATCAAAATGTCTGCTATTTTTCCTCCAAAAGAACATATTTTTTTCATCAAGGCATGTACCAAATACCCTGTGAGACAGAGATTTCCTACTCTTTCTCGTTGGTGAGAAAAAGAAGGGAGGGAATCTTTATCTCCAGGGTAGGTATGAAATGTAGAAATCCTACTTTTTGGAGCATCAAATGTTGAATACCCCATTGTTTCCAAAGCTTTTAACCAATCTCAAAAGGCATAGTTATGCAGCGTCTCAGTTATGAGGCAAAAATATCATTTTCTTTTTTCGAAACAACAAGTATTTCCAATTGTTTAGGATTTTTTATTAATACTTACAGACATGCCAGTGACCTGCGGTGCACTCTGAGTTGAAAACTGCATTGGTGAGGGAGCCATTGGACTCTGTGCTGCATAAACATTTTGGGCAGGTGCTAGCCCAGGTGTAAAAAATACAACCTGTTCATTTCCCTGAAATGAAATATGGAACAAACGTGTTGCATTATAATGCTCAAACCTGTAGTCCAACTTAGGGCATAACTTTGCTACCTGACTCGTTTGAGCGCGACAAACTGAACGTAGAATGGCAATAGTCTTTCCTCCTTTTATGCGGACTTAATAATAAGTTTATCGTTCCCTTTCAGGGCTAGAAATAACTGATTAATTAATCAACCGTTAATGGTATAATTTCACTTACCATCGGCGGCGGAGGTTGCAAGGCGTTTGGAGGAATATGACCGTACATGCTGTATTTCAGCTGCGGTAAGTTATTGTACATCAATTGGGTGTTAAATATTTTAGCAAGTCCTTGCTACCCGATAAACCAATGGTTGCCGTTCAATCGCAAGTACCAGAATCACTTCAAAGGTCCTCCGAGGGATATAATGTTCATTACTTCTTCAGCCCACCATTTCATTCTCTTCCCGAGAGCCACCTGTCTCTTCTAGCCGACGGGGCCTTGGCACCAGGAACTGGTCAGAGACCGGTGAGCCAGACCGGTGGGAATACCCGAGGAAAATGGAACGACATTTTCCGATCAAACCGGACCAATCAAGAGGAATGGCTCTTACCATTTTTTATTCCTTTCTGAGTCCCTACATACGTAAAGAGAAGTAGGGCAATGAACCGGCTTGTCAAAATGGAACGGCAAATTTCGGTCGGACCGATCCGACCGGTCAAAATGGACCACCTCCAGAGGTGGTCCCGAATATCCCGGTATATACCGAAATGGACCTCTCCTTTTGACTTCCGACCGAAATTTCCGGAATCTTTGACATAATGGAAAGCACTCTAAGGGCCCGTTTCTATGGTCTAGGGTACCCAAGACAACCCCCCCTGCGAGTTACCCTGGTTGGGCTAACTTTTCACTTATTTCTTTGCAAAACAACCAACCTTTTGTAACCCGTCTTGGGGGTCGAGACAACTTGGGTGGACGAGTTGTCTCTCCTCGGCAGGTGGGGTAACCCTGGCAGGCGCGACAACTTTTCTTCATCTAAACACTTTGGCTCGGCTAACAGGGACAACTCTTAGGGTGGCGAGTGTCACGCAGTGCCTAGATTAACCCTTTTAGCCCCAATTACGCATATATGCGTAATTAATGGTCGTGCTCTTTGTACTACTTGTGACGTCATCAATTTAAATGTCATCAGATATTCTTGATAAGCAGATAGTAGTACTAGGCTAGACCTTTCCGTACAATAGTCAGGTTTAGATATTGACGACATTCCCACGTCGCAAATGGGAAAACAACGTTATCAGTTTTGGTGCAAAAACGGTGGTAAAATGATCCACTACGCCTATGATTGATCAAGGTCCATTTCTAGGCTTCGCCCGTAATTGCCATCCAACTTTTCACGGTAGCCAGAAAGAACATGCAACGCAAAAGGTAGCCAGAGTAAAAGGGCCGAGAAAAAAAAGAAAGGAAAGGGGCAACAAACAAAATTGATAATGGTTAATGCCAAAAAAAAAAGAAAAGAAAAGTTCAAATTTTGGCTTATGCGCATGCCCGGAATTGAAATATTGCTCAATTTTGTACCTAATCCTCGAAAAATTTCTCCTTTTGGTAAAAAAAAAAAAGCTTTCGTGGCAAAACTTAGGCTTGTACGGCCCCGCAAATGATCCCGGCCCGCAAATGATCCCCGTACCTCAAATGATCCCCAAATTGTACCGCAAATGATCCCAGGACCGGAAAGGATCCCCAGATTGTACCATAAAAATGATCCCGGACCGGAAATGGTCGCCTCGCCATAAAATCTGGAAATGTGAGGACTCAAGAATTTGGACAGTGGATTTTAATTTTATACAATCGCTTTTTTTATGACTGTGAAACTCAGAAAACCGTGAACATTTGGATTTGATTCCAAAAGGTTAATTTGGCACTGAACCAATCACTATAAAGTTCAGGACACGCGAGAAAACCTCAAAACCACAACCAATAGGCCACGTTCGATATATCAATATTCTAACATTGATCCGTGGCTTTCGGGTCAAAATTGCAAAATTTTTAAGTTTCCGTTGTCTTTCAATTCCCAAAAGAGACTTGGATACAAAGAAAACACCACCAAACATAGAGGTTTGTCCTGAAAGCCTCGGAGCCTTGTTAGGACATTGATATATCGACCGTGGCCTATTACCGCTGGTGTTTGCGGTTTAGTTTTCTCACGCTTAATTGGCTTTTTCCCTGCTACACAATAATAATCCTTAAATATTTCTGGTATTTACGGTTTTCTGAAGCTTTCTGAGTTTCACATTAATAATACAATATTTTGATACAGCGGTTACTATATGAAACGCAAGAAAATGTGCAGTATGAACGATTTGAATGCAAATTTCACAACTTTAAAAATGATATCCAACGTTACAAAAACCTGTGTTTGAAGTTTGTAGTTTAGTTGAATCCTTCCCTGAATGACTTTATTGGGTCCGGGCCTGACATGTATGATAACACAGGACGTTCACTATATCCTCAAATGTGGGGCCAACTGAGAATTCCCAAGTGGATTGACCACATTTTTACTACGGTAACTAGCACGAAGGAATCTTAGAGACTTCCGTGGGAGCCCGTGGCTATCTAGGACGCAAGTATAAGAAGTGTACAGGGAAAAGTTCTAAGCGGTTAATTAGATGGCACAGGCATCTTCGAAGATTCATGTTTCTTTTTGCAGTGCGTTTCCTAAACGAACAATTTTATGCAGTCGACACATGTCAATTTAGTATTTTGCGCAGTATGAGAAACGTTTTTTACCGCTGCTTTTATGCCTGAGGTACTTGTCTTTTCTTCACCTAGGATAATTAAGAAAATATGCATCCATCCATAGACTTTTCATGGAGTCCACGCCATTCCTAACTTTTTGTGGTGGAATCAGTTCCGGTCCCGGGATCATTTGCGGGGCCGTACAAGCTTATTTAGCGTCATGCCAGCCAAAAAACCTGACTAAACGGTTAAAAACGGTATTTTTTGGTGAAAGTTTGGTATTCAAAGGTTTAAGGATTTAAAGCATGAATTTGTATCAAAGATTAACTCGGAAAAATCCACTGTGATCGAATGACGATCGAGCGAAGCTCAAAGAAAGAGGGATATTTGCACATTTGATTATTCAATAAGGGCTATGAATAATCATGTAGGGTCAACTTTGACTCGGCCTACAGGGCAGCGTTTTCACATATAAACGCTCGATAAAATTGCCTAACGGGGAGGGTTGTTTCAGTACCCGAGACCATATAAATAGGGCCTACGTTGGTTTCTTTCACGAAAATATCCCTAGTTGACCTTTACCAAAAGCCATTTGATCACACTGCAAACAATAAAGTTTAAAAAGGAGACATGGATACGGAGAGAATTTTCAGCGACATCATTCACAATGAAACACATAAATGCTACTTCCTGCCCGAATAGAAGATCTAATAGGCATTCTCGATCCCGCGTTTTGCCACTAATCGCCATCCCGCCCCATTCAGAGTGTTTATCCCAATCCCGCCTGGTTCGAGTTCCAACTCTCCGCGTAATGTCCGTAACCTGCGATTTTCTGTTTTTAATCCCGAATTCCGCCGTCAATTTTAAAACTATCCCGCTTTCCGCTTGTCAAAAGGGCAACTCACGCCGCTGCCAAAGTTTTTGCTATCCTGCGTCCCTCCATTAAAATTTCTGTCATCCCGAATCCCGCCTCCATTTCTCACTCTAATCCCGCATCCCGTCAGAATATTGTTTCCATTTTTTAAATTAAGTTAAGAAAGGGAACTTTTTTACAGCTGAAGACCCTAAAAGAAAGTTATTAAATGCATGGAGTAAAATAACTCTTAGTATTTTACCAGGATTCATAATCGGAGCTTAGGCCTGATTTTATATATGCTTTCACCCGCGCCTTCCAGCGCGCGCTCAACTGCAAAAAACTTGCGTTTTTCTTCTCTTGTGACATCAGTGGAAGTCAAGTGCTGAACGCAATGAACTGATCCAAAATGGAGGAAGAGCAAGGCAATGACAGAAACCCTTTCACGCCTGTTGAAGAAGAAGTAGAAGAAGAATTTTCGGAAGAAGACGAGCAAGACAGCTCTAGTACTGGTTCGGAGAGTGAAGAGTGGCCCAACACGGCAGCCGAGCAAAATGGATTGAAAGTTTCGAGGACCACTAGCAAGGTAGAACTTTCCTGTTCCAAGCAAATGATCCCTAGTGCAACAAGTGGGCATCTTATCTGGAACATAAACGAACTATGGCATATCCGAAACACAGAATACCCGGCCTATATAAGTCATTTAGAGTAGGTAATTTCCTTTTACGGTACGACAGACAGTTTTGGGTTTTTAACTGACAGTTTTCGTTTTAGTTTTTAAACTAACCGGCAATTTTTCAGCCATCTTCAATGCACGCCCTCCCATTTAGGCTTATTCAAAAAGCCGTGAATTAAATTAAGTTCTGATGTTGCAAGTCTTGATAGATCACTGCTGAATTTTCTTACGGCTTTGTAAAAACTGAAAAAGACGTCGATCTAGCACTGAAAATTGTTCCATTTTACGAATCGTTGAGCTTCTGAATTTTGCATTGAGATATCCTTCTATGTGAAGTTGAGCTTTTGGTTACTTAAACAATTGACTCCCAAATACGGTTGCTTTAGCACCGGCAATGTTTCTTTTTTTAACAATACAGCCAAATCAGACTCACTACTCAAGGTTTTAGCGGGATAGAGAATATCGAGTTAATGGTACTGACACGAAAGCAGGGCAAGACTGTTCTTGGATTAGCGCCGTAAACATATACAAGCATTATTCATATTTTACACTGAACGTAACCTCCATAATTAAAGCAGAAGATCTTGTTAATTTAACAGACAGGAGATGAACCACCTAAACAGAACATGGTTAGACTAGAAGACCAGATGAATAACGAAAATTTGGAAATGCTGCAGCACATATTCGAGGTTTGTTTCTTTCCTGTTTTTATTCTGCATAGTCTCAGGAGCCTGCGAAAACAGCCGTCCTTCTTCGCTCCCTGCCCGAGTGGCCGGGAGCGAAGAAGGACGGTTGTTTTCGCAGGCTAAGTTTCAGGACCTTTCCATTTTCTCCCGGAATTCGTTTCGGGCATCTTAAAATGTGAATCCCACGTATTGCTGGTCAGTTAAGGAAACAATACCAAATCAGAAAGATGAATGGTATCAAAACTTGTCTGAGGTTACTTGACATTACCGATTTGTAGGAAGCAGATGAAGATGGCGGAGGAGGACTGGATATGGACGAGTTCCGTCAGGCAATGATCAAAACCATGGCTGGTAAAGGTGAAGTGGTAAGCCACAAATTGTGTAATAGTATTCTATCCTCTTGTATGTACTGTTGTCAATACGTGAAGTGGTACCTCGTGGAATTGCTCAGGTTGTTGTTGTTGTTGTTTTTGTTGTTAAAGGTTTTGAAAGATCTGTCCAGGCAGCGATTTCTCCTTCTCCTTCTGCCGGCGTCTTAATTCTTCTTCTTTCTCTTTTTGCTCCGCGCTTGTCATGTTTTTCATAACCATAACCATTTTACAACTTGGAACTTTTTTCTTTTCGTAGCCTGATAATAATCAACTTGCCATCATATTTATGAAAGTTGACGCGAATTGCGATGGAACGGTAGACTGGGTAAGAAACCATTTGTGTTTGTAAAGCATTATGTTATGAATCAAACCACTTCACGAGCATCTTTTGTTGTCAATTTAGGAGGAGTTCTGTTCCTACATGTTGCTGGAGACTCAACTAAAGGATGTTATGACAAGTGAAGACAGGGAGGTGAGATGATCCCGGTTAATTGACGAATCAGTAGTTCCCCCACTTGACTTAGCTTCTGCAAGTGACTATCTCAGACGCAAAACCAAATTAAAGCGGTGGCATTTTTAAAGAATAGATCGGCAGACGAATTTTGCGCCCTTATTGTTTTAACAAACTATATGAAGGCAGCCAAATTATTCAGAGCATTGTTGTTGTTTTTTTCCGCTTTCCTCGCCGAGTTGTACAAATGTTACAAGTGTTTCACCAGGCCCGGGCTTAAACTCTTTGAGCTTCTTGTTTTTATTGAATGCATCGAGAGTTTTTCCTCCGATTAAAATTAGGAGAGTTATGTCTCAGACAACTAATTAACTAGGTAATCTGTCACTTTTATTCCTACAGATGGAATTTCCGCATCCAGCTAAGGAAATCCCTAGGTACTTATTATAACATATGAGTAAAAAATAAGGCACCTCTCCTTCGCTTCAAAAATATAGACTCCGGACTAAGCCTTGGTGCTAGACGGTTTTTATGCGCGGTCTCCTGTTTCGGTCAACTTTGCCACTTGTGGCGGCGTCCTCCTGCCGACACAAAGGATCCCAGCACATGAGCGAGTTAAAGCTTCCTGCACCATTACAAATCCATTTAGAATTCCGCTCATTTTTAAATCTTAAGTATGGTGAAACAAGAACACGAGGGCGTCGGTGGTTTGACCAAAGTTTGGACGATCAACACTCCATTGTCCTACAAATAAATACCAGGGAGGTCTACAAAGAAAATTGTTTTTCAACCCTAATTGGCACGACACGTTTTCACTTAGACTTTATTGTTAAGCGGCCGGTTTAANTAGGCTTGTACGGCCCCGCAAATGATCCCGGCCCGCAAATGATCCCCGTACCTCAAATGATCCCCAAATTGTACCGCAAATGATCCCAGGACCGGAAAGGATCCCCAGATTGTACCATAAAAATGATCCCGGACCGGAAATGGTCGCCTCGCCATAAAATCTGGAAATGTGAGGACTCAAGAATTTGGACAGTGGATTTTAATTTTATACAATCGCTTTTTTTATGACTGTGAAACTCAGAAAACCGTGAACATTTGGATTTGATTCCAAAAGGTTAATTTGGCACTGAACCAATCACTATAAAGTTCAGGACACGCGAGAAAACCTCAAAACCACAACCAATAGGGCACGTTCGATATATCAATATTCTAACATTGATCCGTGGCTTTCGGGTCAAAATTGCAAAATTTTTAAGTTTCCGTTGTCTTTCAATTCCCAAAAGAGACTTGGATACAAAGAAAACACCACCAAACATAGAGGTTTGTCCTGAAAGCCTCGGAGCCTTGTTAGGACATTGATATATCGACCGTGGCCTATTACCGCTGGTGTTTGCGGTTTAGTTTTCTCACGCTTAATTGGCTTTTTCCCTGCTACACAATAATAATCCTTAAATATTTCTGGTATTTACGGTTTTCTGAAGCTTTCTGAGTTTCACATTAATAATACAATATTTTGATACAGCGGTTACTATATGAAACGCAAGAAAATGTGCAGTATGAACGATTTGAATGCAAATTTCACAACTTTAAAAATGATATCCAACGTTACAAAAACCTGTGTTTGAAGTTTGTAGTTTAGTTGAATCCTTCCCTGAATGACTTTATTGGGTCCGGGCCTGACATGTATGATAACACAGGACGTTCACTATATCCTCAAATGTGGGGCCAACTGAGAATTCCCAAGTGGATTGACCACATTTTTACTACGGTAACTAGCACGAAGGAATCTTAGAGACTTCCGTGGGAGCCCGTGGCTATCTAGGACGCAAGTATAAGAAGTGTACAGGGAAAAGTTCTAAGCGGTTAATTAGATGGCACAGGCATCTTCGAAGATTCATGTTTCTTTTTGCAGTGCGTTTCCTAAACGAACAATTTTATGCAGTCGACACATGTCAATTTAGTATTTTGCGCAGTATGAGAAACGTTTTTTACCGCTGCTTTTATGCCTGAGGTACTTGTCTTTTCTTCACCTAGGATAATTAAGAAAATATGCATCCATCCATAGACTTTTCATGGAGTCCACGCCATTCCTAACTTTTTGTGGTGGAATCAGTTCCGGTCCCGGGATCATTTGCGGGGCCGTACAAGCTTATTTAGCGTCATGCCAGCCAAAAAACCTGACTAAACGGTTAAAAACGGTATTTTTTGGTGAAAGTTTGGTATTCAAAGGTTTAAGGATTTAAAGCATGAATTTGTATCAAAGATTAACTCGGAAAAATCCACTGTGATCGAATGACGATCGAGCGAAGCTCAAAGAAAGAGGGATATTTGCACATTTGATTATTCAATAAGGGCTATGAATAATCATGTAGGGTCAACTTTGACTCGGCCTACAGGGCAGCGTTTTCACATATAAACGCTCGATAAAATTGCCTAACGGGGAGGGTTGTTTCAGTACCCGAGACCATATAAATAGGGCCTACGTTGGTTTCTTTCACGAAAATATCCCTAGTTGACCTTTACCAAAAGCCATTTGATCACACTGCAAACAATAAAGTTTAAAAAGGAGACATGGATACGGAGAGAATTTTCAGCGACATCATTCACAATGAAACACATAAATGCTACTTCCTGCCCGAATAGAAGATCTAATAGGCATTCTCGATCCCGCGTTTTGCCACTAATCGCCATCCCGCCCCATTCAGAGTGTTTATCCCAATCCCGCCTGGTTCGAGTTCCAACTCTCCGCGTAATGTCCGTAACCTGCGATTTTCTGTTTTTAATCCCGAATTCCGCCGTCAATTTTAAAACTATCCCGCTTTCCGCTTGTCAAAAGGGCAACTCACGCCGCTGCCAAAGTTTTTGCTATCCTGCGTCCCTCCATTAAAATTTCTGTCATCCCGAATCCCGCCTCCATTTCTCACTCTAATCCCGCATCCCGTCAGAATATTGTTTCCATTTTTTAAATTAAGTTAAGAAAGGGAACTTTTTTACAGCTGAAGACCCTAAAAGAAAGTTATTAAATGCATGGAGTAAAATAACTCTTAGTATTTTACCAGGATTCATAATCGGAGCTTAGGCCTGATTTTATATATGCTTTCACCCGCGCCTTCCAGCGCGCGCTCAACTGCAAAAAACTTGCGTTTTTCTTCTCTTGTGACATCAGTGGAAGTCAAGTGCTGAACGCAATGAACTGATCCAAAATGGAGGAAGAGCAAGGCAATGACAGAAACCCTTTCACGCCTGTTGAAGAAGAAGTAGAAGAAGAATTTTCGGAAGAAGACGAGCAAGACAGCTCTAGTACTGGTTCGGAGAGTGAAGAGTGGCCCAACACGGCAGCCGAGCAAAATGGATTGAAAGTTTCGAGGACCACTAGCAAGGTAGAACTTTCCTGTTCCAAGCAAATGATCCCTAGTGCAACAAGTGGGCATCTTATCTGGAACATAAACGAACTATGGCATATCCGAAACACAGAATACCCGGCCTATATAAGTCATTTAGAGTAGGTAATTTCCTTTTACGGTACGACAGACAGTTTTGGGTTTTTAACTGACAGTTTTCGTTTTAGTTTTTAAACTAACCGGCAATTTTTCAGCCATCTTCAATGCACGCCCTCCCATTTAGGCTTATTCAAAAAGCCGTGAATTAAATTAAGTTCTGATGTTGCAAGTCTTGATAGATCACTGCTGAATTTTCTTACGGCTTTGTAAAAACTGAAAAAGACGTCGATCTAGCACTGAAAATTGTTCCATTTTACGAATCGTTGAGCTTCTGAATTTTGCATTGAGATATCCTTCTATGTGAAGTTGAGCTTTTGGTTACTTAAACAATTGACTCCCAAATACGGTTGCTTTAGCACCGGCAATGTTTCTTTTTTTAACAATACAGCCAAATCAGACTCACTACTCAAGGTTTTAGCGGGATAGAGAATATCGAGTTAATGGTACTGACACGAAAGCAGGGCAAGACTGTTCTTGGATTAGCGCCGTAAACATATACAAGCATTATTCATATTTTACACTGAACGTAACCTCCATAATTAAAGCAGAAGATCTTGTTAATTTAACAGACAGGAGATGAACCACCTAAACAGAACATGGTTAGACTAGAAGACCAGATGAATAACGAAAATTTGGAAATGCTGCAGCACATATTCGAGGTTTGTTTCTTTCCTGTTTTTATTCTGCATAGTCTCAGGAGCCTGCGAAAACAGCCGTCCTTCTTCGCTCCCTGCCCGAGTGGCCGGGAGCGAAGAAGGACGGTTGTTTTCGCAGGCTAAGTTTCAGGACCTTTCCATTTTCTCCCGGAATTCGTTTCGGGCATCTTAAAATGTGAATCCCACGTATTGCTGGTCAGTTAAGGAAACAATACCAAATCAGAAAGATGAATGGTATCAAAACTTGTCTGAGGTTACTTGACATTACCGATTTGTAGGAAGCAGATGAAGATGGCGGAGGAGGACTGGATATGGACGAGTTCCGTCAGGCAATGATCAAAACCATGGCTGGTAAAGGTGAAGTGGTAAGCCACAAATTGTGTAATAGTATTCTATCCTCTTGTATGTACTGTTGTCAATACGTGAAGTGGTACCTCGTGGAATTGCTCAGGTTGTTGTTGTTGTTGTTTTTGTTGTTAAAGGTTTTGAAAGATCTGTCCAGGCAGCGATTTCTCCTTCTCCTTCTGCCGGCGTCTTAATTCTTCTTCTTTCTCTTTTTGCTCCGCGCTTGTCATGTTTTTCATAACCATAACCATTTTACAACTTGGAACTTTTTTCTTTTCGTAGCCTGATAATAATCAACTTGCCATCATATTTATGAAAGTTGACGCGAATTGCGATGGAACGGTAGACTGGGTAAGAAACCATTTGTGTTTGTAAAGCATTATGTTATGAATCAAACCACTTCACGAGCATCTTTTGTTGTCAATTTAGGAGGAGTTCTGTTCCTACATGTTGCTGGAGACTCAACTAAAGGATGTTATGACAAGTGAAGACAGGGAGGTGAGATGATCCCGGTTAATTGACGAATCAGTAGTTCCCCCACTTGACTTAGCTTCTGCAAGTGACTATCTCAGACGCAAAACCAAATTAAAGCGGTGGCATTTTTAAAGAATAGATCGGCAGACGAATTTTGCGCCCTTATTGTTTTAACAAACTATATGAAGGCAGCCAAATTATTCAGAGCATTGTTGTTGTTTTTTTCCGCTTTCCTCGCCGAGTTGTACAAATGTTACAAGTGTTTCACCAGGCCCGGGCTTAAACTCTTTGAGCTTCTTGTTTTTATTGAATGCATCGAGAGTTTTTCCTCCGATTAAAATTAGGAGAGTTATGTCTCAGACAACTAATTAACTAGGTAATCTGTCACTTTTATTCCTACAGATGGAATTTCCGCATCCAGCTAAGGAAATCCCTAGGTACTTATTATAACATATGAGTAAAAAATAAGGCACCTCTCCTTCGCTTCAAAAATATAGACTCCGGACTAAGCCTTGGTGCTAGACGGTTTTTATGCGCGGTCTCCTGTTTCGGTCAACTTTGCCACTTGTGGCGGCGTCCTCCTGCCGACACAAAGGATCCCAGCACATGAGCGAGTTAAAGCTTCCTGCACCATTACAAATCCATTTAGAATTCCGCTCATTTTTAAATCTTAAGTATGGTGAAACAAGAACACGAGGGCGTCGGTGGTTTGACCAAAGTTTGGACGATCAACACTCCATTGTCCTACAAATAAATACCAGGGAGGTCTACAAAGAAAATTGTTTTTCAACCCTAATTGGCACGACACGTTTTCACTTAGACTTTATTGTTAAGCGGCCGGTTTAACCTAAGCGGAAAATTGCCTCAGGTATAAGGTGAAGGCAATTTTTTTAGTGATGGAGAAGTATTAGCTCTTCTCAGGAGCCATAATCGGGGACGTCCCCTATTATGGCTCCTGCTCTTCTTTATTATGAAATGTCCTACCAGACAGAACGAGAAATAGCACTGTAGCTTTAGACTTGCACATTTCCTTTATTCCTTTATTTTCATACTTGTTTTGATCTTAAATATACTTCCAAATATGCACTAGATTGCATTACAGAGCATCCAAGTTTCAAAACTTTTCCGGGGGAGAATGCCCCTGGACCCCCCTAGCAAGCTCGGGGCTACGCCCTTCGATTTTAAATCTTATGGAAAAAATTTATTTTGGTAGAAACTAGTCACACAAATTGCTGGATCCACCCCTGATTTCCGTAATGGCTGCCAAAAAAACCAAACCCAAAGCATAAATAACAACAAACACTATTAATGAACCATTGAACCAAGGATGGGAAAAGGGTGGGAAAAGCTGCATCAGCCGAGGAACAGTTAGTCTTGAGTTTGATTCTGATTTGTCGAAAAAATCGCATTTTTGCTATGCATTTGACTGGCTCGTATAGAACGTATGACAAATTTTAAACTCAAAGTTACAGTAGTTGGTACTGAACAGTTAGATTGTGTTTGGTTTGGATTTTAGTTGCCATCGCGACAACATCACTCGGATAACTTATCTTCCTAAACTGTCGCATGGCACTGATGATCCGACTGACAGCAATGGAGGAAGATATGTGTCTGTCAGCAAGGAAGGAACTGTGCACTTCTGGAGCATGGACCTGATGCACCCTCAAAGAACTCTGTCAGTAAGTGAGCAGATATGAGCGGGAATTTTTACCCTGTTCAAGAGAAACCTTGAGCTTTAAAAGAATTAGCGACGTATTTGAAAACATCACAATCTCCACCCATTTAAGGGAGGACACGCCAGTGCTTATATGATTATTGCTTTCTTTTTGTCAGCTAAAGAATATATACATGCTATTGACGTTACTGAACAGGTCAGAATGTTGATGGCATCCCGTTTATTTTCAGTTAGGGCATGAGGGTAAAGCCAGTAAGAATGTGTGGATTACAGACTGTGTGGTGTTACCAAACGCCAAGAAGCTTGCCCTGTCAACGGCTGACCGAGAGATAGGTCTGTAACACCACACTTACGGTACCAGTCATTTTCTCTAGCAAGAGTTTTATTATTTTAAGGAAATTCTTAATTCTTAAGTGGATGTACTTTGATTACTTGAATGCTTACTACTCGCTGTAGATTCTTTTAGGCTTTCGGACTCGGGTAAAGCTAAATAAGAAAAGACGCTATCTACAACGGTTGCCTGCAAGAAATAGGTGCATGCAGTTGCTTCCATTACTATCTGCCGAAAGCTCTCATTTGGAAAANTTTTTAAGTTTCCGTTGTCTTTCAATTCCCAAAAGAGACTTGGATACAAAGAAAACACCACCAAACATAGAGGTTTGTCCTGAAAGCCTCGGAGCCTTGTTAGGACATTGATATATCGACCGTGGCCTATTACCGCTGGTGTTTGCGGTTTAGTTTTCTCACGCTTAATTGGCTTTTTCCCTGCTACACAATAATAATCCTTAAATATTTCTGGTATTTACGGTTTTCTGAAGCTTTCTGAGTTTCACATTAATAATACAATATTTTGATACAGCGGTTACTATATGAAACGCAAGAAAATGTGCAGTATGAACGATTTGAATGCAAATTTCACAACTTTAAAAATGATATCCAACGTTACAAAAACCTGTGTTTGAAGTTTGTAGTTTAGTTGAATCCTTCCCTGAATGACTTTATTGGGTCCGGGCCTGACATGTATGATAACACAGGACGTTCACTATATCCTCAAATGTGGGGCCAACTGAGAATTCCCAAGTGGATTGACCACATTTTTACTACGGTAACTAGCACGAAGGAATCTTAGAGACTTCCGTGGGAGCCCGTGGCTATCTAGGACGCAAGTATAAGAAGTGTACAGGGAAAAGTTCTAAGCGGTTAATTAGATGGCACAGGCATCTTCGAAGATTCATGTTTCTTTTTGCAGTGCGTTTCCTAAACGAACAATTTTATGCAGTCGACACATGTCAATTTAGTATTTTGCGCAGTATGAGAAACGTTTTTTACCGCTGCTTTTATGCCTGAGGTACTTGTCTTTTCTTCACCTAGGATAATTAAGAAAATATGCATCCATCCATAGACTTTTCATGGAGTCCACGCCATTCCTAACTTTTTGTGGTGGAATCAGTTCCGGTCCCGGGATCATTTGCGGGGCCGTACAAGCTTATTTAGCGTCATGCCAGCCAAAAAACCTGACTAAACGGTTAAAAACGGTATTTTTTGGTGAAAGTTTGGTATTCAAAGGTTTAAGGATTTAAAGCATGAATTTGTATCAAAGATTAACTCGGAAAAATCCACTGTGATCGAATGACGATCGAGCGAAGCTCAAAGAAAGAGGGATATTTGCACATTTGATTATTCAATAAGGGCTATGAATAATCATGTAGGGTCAACTTTGACTCGGCCTACAGGGCAGCGTTTTCACATATAAACGCTCGATAAAATTGCCTAACGGGGAGGGTTGTTTCAGTACCCGAGACCATATAAATAGGGCCTACGTTGGTTTCTTTCACGAAAATATCCCTAGTTGACCTTTACCAAAAGCCATTTGATCACACTGCAAACAATAAAGTTTAAAAAGGAGACATGGATACGGAGAGAATTTTCAGCGACATCATTCACAATGAAACACATAAATGCTACTTCCTGCCCGAATAGAAGATCTAATAGGCATTCTCGATCCCGCGTTTTGCCACTAATCGCCATCCCGCCCCATTCAGAGTGTTTATCCCAATCCCGCCTGGTTCGAGTTCCAACTCTCCGCGTAATGTCCGTAACCTGCGATTTTCTGTTTTTAATCCCGAATTCCGCCGTCAATTTTAAAACTATCCCGCTTTCCGCTTGTCAAAAGGGCAACTCACGCCGCTGCCAAAGTTTTTGCTATCCTGCGTCCCTCCATTAAAATTTCTGTCATCCCGAATCCCGCCTCCATTTCTCACTCTAATCCCGCATCCCGTCAGAATATTGTTTCCATTTTTTAAATTAAGTTAAGAAAGGGAACTTTTTTACAGCTGAAGACCCTAAAAGAAAGTTATTAAATGCATGGAGTAAAATAACTCTTAGTATTTTACCAGGATTCATAATCGGAGCTTAGGCCTGATTTTATATATGCTTTCACCCGCGCCTTCCAGCGCGCGCTCAACTGCAAAAAACTTGCGTTTTTCTTCTCTTGTGACATCAGTGGAAGTCAAGTGCTGAACGCAATGAACTGATCCAAAATGGAGGAAGAGCAAGGCAATGACAGAAACCCTTTCACGCCTGTTGAAGAAGAAGTAGAAGAAGAATTTTCGGAAGAAGACGAGCAAGACAGCTCTAGTACTGGTTCGGAGAGTGAAGAGTGGCCCAACACGGCAGCCGAGCAAAATGGATTGAAAGTTTCGAGGACCACTAGCAAGGTAGAACTTTCCTGTTCCAAGCAAATGATCCCTAGTGCAACAAGTGGGCATCTTATCTGGAACATAAACGAACTATGGCATATCCGAAACACAGAATACCCGGCCTATATAAGTCATTTAGAGTAGGTAATTTCCTTTTACGGTACGACAGACAGTTTTGGGTTTTTAACTGACAGTTTTCGTTTTAGTTTTTAAACTAACCGGCAATTTTTCAGCCATCTTCAATGCACGCCCTCCCATTTAGGCTTATTCAAAAAGCCGTGAATTAAATTAAGTTCTGATGTTGCAAGTCTTGATAGATCACTGCTGAATTTTCTTACGGCTTTGTAAAAACTGAAAAAGACGTCGATCTAGCACTGAAAATTGTTCCATTTTACGAATCGTTGAGCTTCTGAATTTTGCATTGAGATATCCTTCTATGTGAAGTTGAGCTTTTGGTTACTTAAACAATTGACTCCCAAATACGGTTGCTTTAGCACCGGCAATGTTTCTTTTTTTAACAATACAGCCAAATCAGACTCACTACTCAAGGTTTTAGCGGGATAGAGAATATCGAGTTAATGGTACTGACACGAAAGCAGGGCAAGACTGTTCTTGGATTAGCGCCGTAAACATATACAAGCATTATTCATATTTTACACTGAACGTAACCTCCATAATTAAAGCAGAAGATCTTGTTAATTTAACAGACAGGAGATGAACCACCTAAACAGAACATGGTTAGACTAGAAGACCAGATGAATAACGAAAATTTGGAAATGCTGCAGCACATATTCGAGGTTTGTTTCTTTCCTGTTTTTATTCTGCATAGTCTCAGGAGCCTGCGAAAACAGCCGTCCTTCTTCGCTCCCTGCCCGAGTGGCCGGGAGCGAAGAAGGACGGTTGTTTTCGCAGGCTAAGTTTCAGGACCTTTCCATTTTCTCCCGGAATTCGTTTCGGGCATCTTAAAATGTGAATCCCACGTATTGCTGGTCAGTTAAGGAAACAATACCAAATCAGAAAGATGAATGGTATCAAAACTTGTCTGAGGTTACTTGACATTACCGATTTGTAGGAAGCAGATGAAGATGGCGGAGGAGGACTGGATATGGACGAGTTCCGTCAGGCAATGATCAAAACCATGGCTGGTAAAGGTGAAGTGGTAAGCCACAAATTGTGTAATAGTATTCTATCCTCTTGTATGTACTGTTGTCAATACGTGAAGTGGTACCTCGTGGAATTGCTCAGGTTGTTGTTGTTGTTGTTTTTGTTGTTAAAGGTTTTGAAAGATCTGTCCAGGCAGCGATTTCTCCTTCTCCTTCTGCCGGCGTCTTAATTCTTCTTCTTTCTCTTTTTGCTCCGCGCTTGTCATGTTTTTCATAACCATAACCATTTTACAACTTGGAACTTTTTTCTTTTCGTAGCCTGATAATAATCAACTTGCCATCATATTTATGAAAGTTGACGCGAATTGCGATGGAACGGTAGACTGGGTAAGAAACCATTTGTGTTTGTAAAGCATTATGTTATGAATCAAACCACTTCACGAGCATCTTTTGTTGTCAATTTAGGAGGAGTTCTGTTCCTACATGTTGCTGGAGACTCAACTAAAGGATGTTATGACAAGTGAAGACAGGGAGGTGAGATGATCCCGGTTAATTGACGAATCAGTAGTTCCCCCACTTGACTTAGCTTCTGCAAGTGACTATCTCAGACGCAAAACCAAATTAAAGCGGTGGCATTTTTAAAGAATAGATCGGCAGACGAATTTTGCGCCCTTATTGTTTTAACAAACTATATGAAGGCAGCCAAATTATTCAGAGCATTGTTGTTGTTTTTTTCCGCTTTCCTCGCCGAGTTGTACAAATGTTACAAGTGTTTCACCAGGCCCGGGCTTAAACTCTTTGAGCTTCTTGTTTTTATTGAATGCATCGAGAGTTTTTCCTCCGATTAAAATTAGGAGAGTTATGTCTCAGACAACTAATTAACTAGGTAATCTGTCACTTTTATTCCTACAGATGGAATTTCCGCATCCAGCTAAGGAAATCCCTAGGTACTTATTATAACATATGAGTAAAAAATAAGGCACCTCTCCTTCGCTTCAAAAATATAGACTCCGGACTAAGCCTTGGTGCTAGACGGTTTTTATGCGCGGTCTCCTGTTTCGGTCAACTTTGCCACTTGTGGCGGCGTCCTCCTGCCGACACAAAGGATCCCAGCACATGAGCGAGTTAAAGCTTCCTGCACCATTACAAATCCATTTAGAATTCCGCTCATTTTTAAATCTTAAGTATGGTGAAACAAGAACACGAGGGCGTCGGTGGTTTGACCAAAGTTTGGACGATCAACACTCCATTGTCCTACAAATAAATACCAGGGAGGTCTACAAAGAAAATTGTTTTTCAACCCTAATTGGCACGACACGTTTTCACTTAGACTTTATTGTTAAGCGGCCGGTTTAACCTAAGCGGAAAATTGCCTCAGGTATAAGGTGAAGGCAATTTTTTTAGTGATGGAGAAGTATTAGCTCTTCTCAGGAGCCATAATCGGGGACGTCCCCTATTATGGCTCCTGCTCTTCTTTATTATGAAATGTCCTACCAGACAGAACGAGAAATAGCACTGTAGCTTTAGACTTGCACATTTCCTTTATTCCTTTATTTTCATACTTGTTTTGATCTTAAATATACTTCCAAATATGCACTAGATTGCATTACAGAGCATCCAAGTTTCAAAACTTTTCCGGGGGAGAATGCCCCTGGACCCCCCTAGCAAGCTCGGGGCTACGCCCTTCGATTTTAAATCTTATGGAAAAAATTTATTTTGGTAGAAACTAGTCACACAAATTGCTGGATCCACCCCTGATTTCCGTAATGGCTGCCAAAAAAACCAAACCCAAAGCATAAATAACAACAAACACTATTAATGAACCATTGAACCAAGGATGGGAAAAGGGTGGGAAAAGCTGCATCAGCCGAGGAACAGTTAGTCTTGAGTTTGATTCTGATTTGTCGAAAAAATCGCATTTTTGCTATGCATTTGACTGGCTCGTATAGAACGTATGACAAATTTTAAACTCAAAGTTACAGTAGTTGGTACTGAACAGTTAGATTGTGTTTGGTTTGGATTTTAGTTGCCATCGCGACAACATCACTCGGATAACTTATCTTCCTAAACTGTCGCATGGCACTGATGATCCGACTGACAGCAATGGAGGAAGATATGTGTCTGTCAGCAAGGAAGGAACTGTGCACTTCTGGAGCATGGACCTGATGCACCCTCAAAGAACTCTGTCAGTAAGTGAGCAGATATGAGCGGGAATTTTTACCCTGTTCAAGAGAAACCTTGAGCTTTAAAAGAATTAGCGACGTATTTGAAAACATCACAATCTCCACCCATTTAAGGGAGGACACGCCAGTGCTTATATGATTATTGCTTTCTTTTTGTCAGCTAAAGAATATATACATGCTATTGACGTTACTGAACAGGTCAGAATGTTGATGGCATCCCGTTTATTTTCAGTTAGGGCATGAGGGTAAAGCCAGTAAGAATGTGTGGATTACAGACTGTGTGGTGTTACCAAACGCCAAGAAGCTTGCCCTGTCAACGGCTGACCGAGAGATAGGTCTGTAACACCACACTTACGGTACCAGTCATTTTCTCTAGCAAGAGTTTTATTATTTTAAGGAAATTCTTAATTCTTAAGTGGATGTACTTTGATTACTTGAATGCTTACTACTCGCTGTAGATTCTTTTAGGCTTTCGGACTCGGGTAAAGCTAAATAAGAAAAGACGCTATCTACAACGGTTGCCTGCAAGAAATAGGTGCATGCAGTTGCTTCCATTACTATCTGCCGAAAGCTCTCATTTGGAAAATAAAGTGGATAATTTAAACGCTATATATATTTTTTACAAGTTGTGTACTTTTACAGTGCAATACACCGTATTATAGCAACGGCATTTGTACTTTTGTTTTCCTCTTTAGCATTCTATGACTGCTCTGCCAACAGTTTTGATAAACAGTTTGTGATCTGTAGTTTGGATTACTGTGTACTCACCATGGATTACTGGTAAGAAGCTGTATCAGGAACAAAATGGCGTCCGTCACAGTGACAAGTTCTAAGCAGCGAAAACTAAAATTTTCTCGTTGGAGTTAGCAATGTTGAAGCGTTCAAATACTCGCAAATTTCTGCTTTATTACCTGCTCCTTGTTTGGTTTCTAGCTGAAACAGGGTGTTTTGTTTCTGATTTTAAGACTGCCACAACTAAAATCAGTCTTAAAATACCTGAAATTCGTTTTATGTTTATTTATATGTTAAAGTGGTAATCTAAATCCGTTTTGCCTTTCTACAGATATAAAGCAATCAAAGTTAGTCTAAAGAGTGCCTTTTTTTAGGAAAAAGCGTTTCAGATGTCCTTAACGTTAGGCATGCTGTTCACATGTTATGTCATAGCTTCCATCGTGCGAAATCTCATCTAGGGCATGATATTTTGCCGATATTTTTCAGGTACAGCACAGCCAAATTAAATGAGGGTATTTTGGTGTGTGGTGACGCTGGAGGCTCTGTGTTTTGTTTAAAGTTCTCTGCAGTCACAGGATGCCTGTTTGACTTAAACCTTGGACAACAGATTCCATCTGGTACACTTTGTTTACGCTAGACTAGCATTGAAAACCAAATCTGGGTCGGGTTAGTTTGTAGACAGTTTGCACGAAACTAAGCTCCTCAAGAGATAGTACTCAGCTGTACCCACTATCTTCAGTTGTCTTTAGAAAAAGTGCGAAGGTTGCATTTTTCGCTTTTGTTCTAATTCCATGCTTTTGAGAAAGCTGAGTGTCGTATGGTATTGGAAGAATTTTTCAAATTGTTCTGCGTGGAGACACTAAGACTTGATACGGAAACTACTTATGACCTTAGTTCTTACTTACTCCATTTTTTTTCTGTTTTCAGTATCCTTTAGACGATTTTCCCTGTCGGAACTTCAGCAAGGAAAACATTCTAATATAAAACTTTTCCAATTTAACGTAAGTACTTAGCTGAAATTACAGCCCTCCTCAGGTTATTAATTTTTGCCACAAATCTCAATATTCTTCTTAACATAATGTGTTAATGAGAATCTTACGCGAGCGACGTAATCCGTTGATTATTTCTTCTAAAATTTCAAGCCGTCTTTGAATTCCAGGCCCATAATATTCCATTCTGATATTTTAATATTCCTGGAGTTTCTACAACCCAACGGATGAAGCTCTGCGGGTCTATTGTCACTCGCTTCTGTAATCTCTAACAAAATGTGCTGTTTCTGAAATAACTAACCTACGGAAACTTTGATGGCAACCTGATTGCCGTACCACTTTGTGCATGATAGGTCTTCGTTAGAATTCTGTGTGAGATAAATCTGCAGCTTACAGAACAAGAGACTCTCCCCTGCTGATAATTTAAAAGAATTTGCTGACGGCAAGCTACCTGTGGTGTTGCTCAGTCTGCAGACACTAACTATCACTAAATAACATCTACAGTATTGAAAGGTGTCTTACCTATCGCACAGGCTAACTTGATAATCGGTAAGGCTGTGATGAGCACAAGGCAACACAAACCCTCTGGGACCCGTTAAGACGTCCCCTCCTCCCTCCGGGTGTAAAATCAATTATATTAGCATAATTTATTGTTATCTTGTATTTTAGAATCTCCACGAGGACTGGATTCGTAAAGTGAAATATTACCCTTCCTTACAATGCTTTATCTCTTGCGCTACTGCAAGCAACACTTCCATGTATCTCGGAGACATAGACAGGAAAAAGACGTAAGTTCAAATCCCCAATCACTCTAGCAGATAACTGCTTCATCAACCTTCTTGCGACCCATTTTTTAATGTTCATATTCTCCTAATTTTTGCTTAGAGTGAACAAATTAGTAGAGATCCGATGCCGTTATATCTCGCATCACACGTTTTTACCTGACTTTTTCAATATTTCTTTCCAAATAATACTGTCTCCTTTGACAGGAGCTCCGTGTTCCGCATCCGTAAGGGTATCACATCATTTGACTACTGTAAGGAATGGAACGTCATAGGTGAGTAAACCACGATCTGAATAACATCAAATTGCCGGCAAATATACTAAACTTTGCACAACGCTTTAAAACGTGAATAAAACTCCGAATTTGAATCTATTAAAAAACATTCGTCCGAGATCCTTTTGTCAAACGAAAATCTTGTATCAGCCGGCTACCTAGCCTGATTCTCAGACGGTCCAGGTGGTTCGCTACACCACGTTCTCTCTCAGAGTGGCGGCTACCCTACTTGGTATCTTGAGATTGTAACTCCTCTGACCATTCTGCAGTTGATGTCAATGGGCACATGTACAAGTGATGTATCTTAGTGGTCTTTAATTTGGATCATATCTTCATTCTTCACATATTCACGTCATAATCAAAATCTAATGAACTTTCCGAGGTACACCGGTTACCGATTACCAGTTGTTGACTATTACATGTAATAACTGTGTTAACATGGTGTGTTGACTTTTTTTAGTAACTGGTGGTCTTGATCATTATGTACGTCTGTGGAATCCTTATGTTACAGCTAAAGCCACATCGGTAAGTTTCAGTTTAACTGAGTGAGTTGTATCCTAGTTCAGTGGTTTCGAGTGGCATAATGTGAATACATCTCACAACTGCGTCGGCACACTACTGCAGGATATCAGGACAGTACAAGTAGACAAGGCTTCTTTTTGGCTAATATAGCAAATTTGGGTGCGGCAAAAGAGAAATCTCTCATAGGAAATTCAAGGAAACTGCGGAAATTACTTGTTAGGTACCTGTACCTGTTTCAAATTTTCCGTCCGCTTTTCGGATAGCCAAAGAAAATTGCATAAGTCCTGAGTTGTCCAGTGCTGGCGGTATTGAGTTATTCATAAATTTGGTTTCAAAATATTTGTTTGGTTTTTACGTTACAAAGGTCTTGCAATCCAAACGTATTTTGTCACCTTTCTTGGGTTTTCATTTGCTGTTTGCCAATTTCTCGATTTCTGCATAAAGCTTTTCCCCTCTAGTCTGAAGTATATTTAAACTATACATGTGTATATATATGTCTCGTGCAATTTTCCGTATAGTCCAAAGAGCATTTATGAATTTGATTACATATCAAGACGTCTCTAACACGCATATGGAAGCTGGTCGGCTAACGCACAAACTAAGATGTAGTAATTTAGTCTGTGGTGCGGTGTTTCTGCCATGTACCCCGTTCCATCGTGTTTAAATTAAAAACGGGTATCCTCAATGACGCCCTCCATGGTGGGGATCATGGAAGAGGATTGAAAATGGTGACTGGTTCACTTTTGTAGCGCGCCTTTCAAAACAAGCATTTTACAGCATTCTTTGTTAAATGATCCAAACACGCAGCGCTTGAATTTGCACCGCATTCCAGGCTTGCACTCAATTGGGAACTGCAAGTTATGCACATGACATGACTTCAATGGCTCAACACAAGCGTTAGGTTGTTATGTCTTAAAGAACCATGTTAATGTTTTCGATGCTAATCGTTTTCAGGTGATGAAGGGTCATAGTTCAGCAGTTACTCACATTATAGTGAACAGTGACAAGGGAGAAATAATAAGCGCTGCTCAAGATAAGGTTATTATTATTCATATTTATCATTAATCTTACATTTCGTCAACACTCATGATCAGCAATTCCTGATATGCTTCTGTTGGATATCATAAGATCTTCACTTTCAACTCCATTTCAAGAGTATTCGCGGAGTAAAAAAAAATGCTTCGGGTGTCTAGTAACTAACAGTGAAGCATATTAAAGATGATTTCCAGTCCGTACTACGCAATCTCGAGAGTTTGTTTGCGTTTTTTGTTTTGATTCATGTCAGACATCAGAAAATGTAGACATTTCGCAGCTACTTACGTGATGTAAATTCAAACTTTTAAAACAACCGCCATTATAGATGCGAAGCGGTAGAAGCTTTGTGCTTTGTTCTTTCTTATATCACTTGATGAAACAACTTCGCAGCTGTAAAAATCAATAAAGCTGTTGGAAAAAGAATTTGAAAGGCCTCAAAGATAAGGTATGTGGTTCGTAACGAATAACATCGATTCGCATTCCATCGAGTGAGCCGTTATAATGTTTATAAACATTAGGGTGCTGAGACTGCGCAGTACGGACTGGAAATCTTCTCTAATTTAACTACGATCTAATAATAATAAGTTTTTTATTTACATAGTGCTAGTTTCATTGCTGTCCAATAATCATTCCTACAATCGATATTAAAACAATTCTACATCTCACCTTATTTGAATCTGGCAGGTGATCAAGATTTGGGATATGCGCGACCTGTGTTGTGTTCAAACCATTCCTGCTCGCTCGTTGTTACCAGGCCCCCACCTGATCTCAAGCCTCTACTTCAACTCCAAATCTCACTGCATTTTTGTGGGAACAAACCAGGTGACAATTCAATCTCTCCGTCCCCATCAATCAAATCTTAATATTCTTACCAACGAGTGCTATGTAAAATTCCGGTCCTTTTTAAACGTACGTTTTCAGCTCTGGAAATCTAAACTATGATTTCCGGCAGGTTTCATGTTGTCTGCTCCACTGCACTTTTTTTCAAGAGAGCTTTTACATAAGGAACATACATTTTTAGGTATAGGCGTGTCAGATTAAGCCGTTTCTTTTTCTTCCCCTGAACAGGTTAATAGTAGAAATATAGCAAAAACATCACTTGGCTGTTAAATTTTTTTTATTGTGCGAGGATATTTGACTTGTGTTTGTTCTTTGTCAGTTGTCAGTGATCGAGGGTAAAAGAGAAGAGCCCTCAGAGGAACATGACATTACAAGTCATTTTAAACCAATATGTGCGGCTATTTACAACGATCTCTTTGATCAGGTAATTACAATGTTAAATTCCACGTCCAAGGGACTCCCATATAAGAGGGATGACGATGCGCAATCATTTGCTTAGGGGCGCAAATTGCAGACTTTGGTATCAGTTAGCGTGTTTGGCACAGAACACCAAATGCATTTACCAAACAAGGTAACTTTCAAAGTTGGACACGAAGCAAGACCAGGCATGACTGAAATTTTCAAAATGTCTTTCTAGATGAAAAGGATTCCACGACTTAATCGTCATTAATGTAACGATAGCTCTTGTTTGTGTGTCTGTCTGATTAGACATGGAAGTCTTTCCCAAGATTCCACGTTTTAGTATGCAGTATCGACGTTAGACTTGCCCCAGGTCGACCTTTGCTTAATCCTTCGCGTTTTCTTCTCCCTCAAGTGAAGCGAGAGGGCATCTTTGAGCGATGAAGTCGCGAGCGCAAGCGACCCAGCGCCGAAACCGACAGGCCAGGGAAGAATTATTGGAAAGGTCGTTTAAAAAGTCTATATCGACGTATGTTTTTATCGATTTACTGAAGACGCAATATATTCGTCGTATCTGATTCTTTCCTTCTATCACTCTGGTAGTTAATTCAGTGTGTTGAAAAGATCTGGAGCAAGTCAGAATCATCGAGTCTGACTTTTAGAACCCGGGCACTGATTGCACTGTTGGGCTGCTATCGATGTACACCATTTTATTTGAACATGTTTCTTTACACTCTACTGCAGGATGTATAATGTTGAACCCAATTTAATCTCAGTGAAAAAAAGCAGAACAGACGACTTATCTGGTAGACCAACAGTTAACAACTTGGCCACATTTCCAATGGTCCACACTCTCATTCACCATATATATAACTCTTGACCAATGAGCGCACGAAAACTCTGCCAGGTATATTATTGCAAACAACAACAACGAACAATTTGAAGCACATCAAACTAACATTTTTTCATATCTGTAACAAGATTTGAGTCATTCGAGAAAGAAATCAGTTAGACAAAGTGTTCGAAACATGTTGACATGATAGAGCGTGTGAGATGTTTTGGGAATAAAGGAATATGTAGCACAAGTCAACTGGCAAAAAAGCATTGTTATTGGAGACCAGGCCATTAGACAGCTCCAAATCTCCTTTGACTTCGGTGACAAAAGAGCGCGATAAAAACGAATATTCTTTATGATGAACTTTTGATATAGTAGCCAGGCTGATTTGCTAGGTCTTCCTACAGACAGCGAGCAAACATTCTTTTTAGTCGGGTTGTAAAGTAAAAAAAAAACGGCGCGATCAGGACACGCGTCTCTCCGCTAGTTTTCGCGCGCCCGGCCCACGCGTCCATTTTTCCATGAAGGGCTGCCAGATTCACATTACCTAATTCATTATTTCATTTTTTATAGGTTGTGAGTGCGTGTCACGATTCTGTGGTTTGTGTTTGGAGTCTGCAGACAGGCGAGAAAATCATTCAGTTTTCAAATGCTCACGATAACTCTGAAATCACAGCTATGAGGTTTGACCCTTCCAAGAGGAGACTCATCACAGGGGCTCGAGATGGAACAGTCAAGATTTGGAATTTTAATAACGGCTGCTGTTTGAGCGAATTACAAGCTGTAGATAATCAAGAGGTATATTAAGATTCTCTGTAGAAATTACAATTTACTTACATGTTCGTTTATTGTATACCATGCATGTGTACTGCACTATAATTCGCGCGAAGCAATACCACCTCGTCAATGCTTTGCAGCTTCCACAAATAGTACCCTGCGGGTAGCCTTTTCATTTATTTTTACTATTAATGTTCAAAGCTGGCTACAAAAAGAACTAAACGCAAAATTTGGAGAACAACAAAATTCACGTTCAGGTTTTTTTTTCTGCGGGCGGGTGGAGAGGGGTGGGGGAGAAGCATTCTCGTATTCTCGTCCCCAGAATCTAACACCAAAATTACAGAAAGCAACCGATAGCCGTTACAGCTGTTATCATCGTTTGACATACAAACTAGAAAAAAAGGCTCAATTCTGCCTTGTACTGACCCTTTCGCCTGGTCTGTTTGATGTAATGTAAATGTAAATCTTATTTAAAGTGGTCATGCGCTTGGCTATATACAAGCGCTAAGCTTAGCTAGTTTACAGGCATGCCACTGAAACAAAGGAAACAAATATTTAAATAAACGTAACATAATTAAAAATCCCAGCTGGCAGAAGGCAGACCGGTTGGCTATTTACAAAGCGTGACGGAGGATTTGAACTCGGGACTATCAAGAAACAAATCCAGCTAGTGGCAGGGTGGTGGCCTTGAACCCGGGACCTCTGGATTACAACACCAGCGCCCTAAACCACTCGGCCACGCTGCCTCCTGACCAGGTGGCGTGGCCGATCTTGCATGCTTTTTGAACAAAAACATATTTGAACACAGACCCAGTTGTAATATAACAGCTTGCGATTGTTATGGCGTATATTCTTGTTAAATCTTGCAGATTACAGGTATACTGTGTTTTAAACAGAAGATTATTACAGTTGGATGGAACAGAAAGGTTACCATCTACAGGTAAGTTGAGATCAAATCTGGTTATGCATTGAGCGCAGAGTGCAGTCGACGCAGAGCACAACACGTTACTTCCCAGGCTTCTACGTCATCCTTTTTAATGTTACCTTGCCGTGCTACTTCTTTGAATCTGCTCGAACAGAGGGGCAACAGTGTAGCTGAAGACTTTCAGAGGACGTTAGTCTGAAAACTGGACTGAAAGTAGTCGTTCTTTCTCCCTGCCAGTCCTTCCTTCCTAGTTACTAAGTTACTCAAGTTGTGTCACTCACAGCAGCAGCCATTTACCTGTTGCCGTTCACTTCATTTATCTTGCTCAGAGATTGCAGAGAAGAGGAGGAAGCTGAGCCTCGAGTGTGGTCCAATTTTCACGAGGACGACATTTTATCGGCTGCAATGTACCCTACTGGCTTAGTGGCAACCTCTGCCTATGATGGTGTGGTCAAAGTGTGGAACATTGAGAGTGGACACGTTAACTGCAAACTGAATGCTAATGACTATGGTTTAGAGACCACTCAATCTGTTATTCCAACAGATATTAAGAGACAAGTGTCAACTAGTAATGCAGGTCAGTAGATTAGTAACAAACGTTACAGAATACCAAGGAGAAAAAAAAAAACAACTCAGCGCTGGTCAGTCACTGATGTAAAAATCCCTTAACAGGGTTTAGGGAATCCAACAAGTAAATCCACCGCGTGTTCTCACTCGGCAATCTTGTAAAACAGTATATTTTAACAATTATTCCACGAGCGTGCGTTGGATTTGAGATGATAATCATCTCATATCCAGCAATCCATAAGCGGAATAATTGTTTTATTAAAAACGCCCCCAAAATAAAGAATATTAAAATAAAATTAAATAAAATTAAAATAAAAAACGCCCCAAAAAATTATTCGCTCGTTTACCATACTTGCTGACCGTGGCATAATTACTCATATACCATAACGGCTGAGCCAATGAAACTCTCGAATTGCATTATCCAACGCTAGTTTTTAAAAATAATAGTTTTTAATTAATGTAATATTGTATGGTTGTAATTAGATTAGTGCTATTATAATAATTGAAGGTTTGACCGAGTTTCTAAGGCAGGTCGAGAACGGGGATGGAAGTGAGGGTGAGCCTGAAGCACTCTGATTAGCCTCAAAAGCTCTCCGGTTAGCCTGAATAACGCTCAGGTTAACATCTCTATGGTAAGCTCTCAATAATGGTAATGAAAACACCCCTCACCACTCACCCCCTACCCCTCACCATTATTTAGACTTGCCGCAGACAATCCCATGGACTATGTAAACTGCTGTAAAATACTCTTGTATTCCTCTGCTTTTTATGAAAGTATAGCAAATGGCTTTGGCATCTGTATTTGTTAATTATACTCACCCTCGAGAACGCTTTTTGATGCGATCCGCGATGATTTGAGCATAAATCACTTTACCAAAACAGCTGAAAAATTCCTTCAACTCTCTAGATTTCACTCTATAACTGACGTTACCAACAAACACCTTGCACTTGTTTGCGACCACACGAGTTTTTCGGCAAAATTCTTCAGCTTTCTGCAGCAGCGTTCCAGAATGGACACAGTTCGATTCACTTTTGGGTAGGCTTATTATGGAGACCTCTGACAACTCCAATCCATTGGTCTCACTTGCTGCAACTGCTATCGCCAGTAAACCCTTGCTCCGTGTTTGGCGGTGAAGAGCTTTGAGTTTTTGTAAGTTTGGAGACTGTTTGCTCATCTGCGAACGAATCAGGGTTCATGGAAAGAGTGACTGCCTGGCAAGGTTCAGTAATCTTGGAACGAGGAAGGACCCTTGAGAAATCCCAAGATGGCGACGATTCCTGAGCATACGGTTCTTTGGTTAGCAGTTCTCAAGGAATCAATTGATACGTCATATATGATTGACAATTTGTTCTGATACTTGACACAAGTCATTTCCTACTCAATGTGCCGCTTTGGTGATTAGGTAACAAGCGACAAGACTGGTCTCATATAGTATTCGTACACTGTAACAAAACCATTTCTCTCTGGGTCTAAAGAGTAAGAACAACGTGCCTTTGATTTCGTTTAACCGGAACAAGGAAGCTTCAAATATGAGTTGACTTCCGGTTGCGGGCAGCATGAAAACGAGGTAAATTACTCACAGAGTATGCGTGAGAAGTTCGAAAAATTTTGAGAGGTCTTTGGTTGTTTTAAGACTTGTCTTCAAACGGCGTACTTTGTCTTGTTGGCCAGCTAAATGAGTGCAGAACAACAAGGTGCTCTTCTTCTCAAGAGACAGCTTAAGGGTATGCGATCTTTCTCGGTTTTTAGCCAAAACTGTGGCTGTTTTTGCGTGATATTTGTGCCAATGCAATGCTAATTCGATGGCGTCGTTTCCTTTCACCAGAACTAACCAAGAATCCGACTGAAGGTTTTTCTGCTGGCCTTATCGACGATGACAATCTTTTTAAATGGGAATTAATGGTGGTTGGACCCCCGGACACCTTTTAGTAAGTTTGCGCAAAAAATGCTTTTGTAGTCGTGATTATACAGGGCGCTCTTTCCGTGGTCTCGTGTACATGTTTTACCTCCCTTAATATTTACAAGTCTAAAGCTCATTCTGTCCTTTTTTTGTTGTCTGCTGTAGCGAGGGAGGCTTGTTCAAAGCGCACTTGTATTTTCCTAAAGAATACCCACAAAGACCACCGAAAATGAGATTTATATCGGATTTCTGGCATCCAAATGGTAAGTTCGTCACGACTTGGCATGATTTTTCCAATGCGTGTACCTTTCCTTTGCACGTTGTTCTTTCTCTTTGTTTTGTGCCGCGATGACGTTTTTATGTTAGATGATTCTTCTTTCGTTTAGACACGGCTTCCTCAAAGATTGAAAGTAAAACTCTTTGAGCATGGATAAATAGCCAATTTTTATCAACAAAAACCCATTTTAGGCTTTTTTAAGCTTATATTCAACTATAAGGACCCCTAATCATGAGTTCTAAATTTCCTCGTAAGGTTATATATCATATTGATGATCATATTTTGTGTTAAACTGGTCGATTTTTCAGACAATTGTAAGCAATGATTGATCTTTGTTTCTGGGTCACCTCATTTCTTCTGAATTCGTGTATATTTCTCTTTTTTTATCCCACTATTAAATAAATTAATTAATTAATCATAACTTTAACAAAATTCTTGATTCTGATTGGTCTCCTATTTGTCATGTAAGTGATAATGGCATGTGGTCACAGTGCTGGAAATAATTTTTCTTCTTTAACAGGACATGTGTCCTTTCAAATCTTCATTTTGGTCGGACATCTCATCAATTTGATCGGACATTAATTTGCATAATTGATTAGCATAATTAATTAGCATAATAAAATTTATAAGCATGCTGTAAAGATTTTCAATACAAATCCTTGAAAACTAAATTTAAATTTGATTTATTTATCATTTATGATTAACTAGATGACTTTATCTACTAGATGACTGCAACGATCTCTCCTGGTTATGTGTTCTTCAAGCAAACCTAGTTTCCTATTGAAAGCTACTATTAAAACAGGAGCCCATCACTAGGAGTGCAAAACTACCCCAATTATTCCTGTCCCAACATTTTCACAGGCC